AAAGATATAGAGTCTGCCTATCGGGTATACTCTAATTACATTAAAAAAAATAGCCTGCCTGGGGAGATTGTAGTCAAGTTTGCAAGAAGACAGACCAGATATGTTATATTAAAGGCAACTTCGGCAAATCCACTGAAATTTGGGAATACAAATATTAATACTCTAAAAGACACCCCATTTGAAATCCGTCAAAAGAGGAAAAGCTACAAATAATTAATCTCATTTCTTCAGACAAACACAATACAATATCGCTGCGTGATCCCTAACGGTGTCATCTTTAAAATTAATGATAAAAGAGAGAAGATTGTCTCCATCTTTAAAGCAAAGGAATTTTTTGAGACGACTGCTGCGGCCAGAAGCAGAACTCAAAGATGAAGAAACAAAATCGAGTGACTCTGCTACCTCTGGAACGGGGGAGGACTCTGGGGAGGAAGTGGGTGCGGGAGCAAGCAAAATGGTGAATGATTTCAGAGAAAGAAGACAGAAGTAAGGGCAGAAGGACTCTGAAAATAGCCCTATGAAAATAAGAAGATGCTCAAGAAGTGTTCTCAAAATATTAAAATTACTAACATTGAAGCAGTAGTTAAAAATAACTCACAAGTATATTGTTATACTAACACGTATTTACTAACATGTAGTTTAACACGGAAATGATCTCCTACTCTTGGGTTTTTAGTTAGTGTGGGTATCTTTTTCTTTTTCCCTAGTTGTAGTCCCCCTTCCTATATTTTCTGTTGTAGTTATGTAGGCTATTGAAAAACCAAGAAAATTACCCTCTTGGGGGTTTCAAAAAAAAAAAAAGCTTCCTGCTCCTATAGACACAGCTCTGCCTCCTAAACTGGCTTGTCTTTTTTAACATCATCATCATCATCATCATTAAATTTTAATTAGCAGAGGAGACATTAACATAAAAAGCTCTAGTAAAAGTCATCTTACAGAAATAAAGACAAACACATACACATTTTGAACTACTCACACACACCATCAGGAACACAGCTTAGAAAACAAGAGCTAAGGGCACAGTTTATACAATTATTTGCAAAACATCTCATCTGCCATAAAAAGGGGAAACTTCCAATACATTAAACTGGATAAATGTGTAAATATCCAAATGTAGCAATCTAAACTAATGGCAAGCACATTTTAGGATGTGGGCTTTAATCTTTAATAATAATAATACTTTCAATTTATTGATCGCTTTTTCCCACTCATACGGGCTCAGAGCGATTTACAGTTACTCAAGGAGACAATGGACTAACAATATTCGTGGGGGATAGGGAAGACAACATACAATATTTAATCACACACACATTGTAGCTGGAGGATCCATCCGCAGGCTGTATCAGTCATGTTCTGACGGCATATATTCTGTTGGCTGGCTGATGAGGTCAGGGCTCTTGATGTCGTACTGCCACACTGCCACTGCCTGGCCGATTCGCTCCACTGCAGGGGATGCCGAAACAGATTTTTCCACTTTTTGATCTTCACCGCGACTGACAAAGCTTGGCAGTTCAGATGTTATAGTTATGCAGGGGATTTACCCACTGCGCCACCACTCCCCTTTGTTACAGTCAAAGTCCCATGAGTCTATAGGCTTGGTGAAAAAATGTTTAAAATATATTTATTTAAAACATTGTATACCTACATTCCTAGTACAATGTTCTTCAGGTAGCTCCCATTAAAACAGTAAGTTAAAACAAATAGATACACAAAAAGAAAGTTTCACTCCAAAACACAGCAGGGGAAAATTCCTTACAAACCATTTTTCAAACTCCCAAAACAAATCAGTAGAATAAAAACATATAGTAGATATGAGTGAACAGCATAGCAAAACAGCACAGGAAAAGAAAATTACGTTTTACCCTAACCCTGGAATAAGGTCAAGGAACCAGAGTATTAGATGAACTTGGGCCTATCCATCCTAAAATGTGAAGACAAACCAATCCTGCCCCACCACAGAGTAGGGAGAGAGTCACTAACAGTTCCCAAATACTAGGATGAGGACGGGCAACTACACACTTGACAACATTTAAGGAAGAAAAGTGGGGGATTAACAATAAGCCTGGCAGGGGGGGAAATCGTTTAACTTGGCCAATCAGATGTTGTTTTTATCACAAGTTCACTATGGGAACTTGCAGTCATATTGAAACTGCAAGTCTCCATGGCAACTCATGGGTAAAAAGCTGCAGCCTCACAACAGCCTCACAAAAATGTTCTTTAGTTTAAATTTATTTTTGCCCAATCAGAACTAAGGAATTATTCTATCACTGGAGTCTTAGTGCCTTGCATAACTGTTGTTTCATTTCCTGTTTCCACAATTCTTTATCTGCAGTCTTTCAAAGGTTTATAGCCTTGGCATCATTAGATGCATTCATTGCGGTTGGTGTTGAAGAGCCTGGATTGAAAAGTTGAGGTGTTTCTGGAATCTTCAAAGATTTGATGGAATTAGAGCCGTCATCCATTTCCTTCTCCCTGGCATCAGCAGACTGATTTAGATCTTTCAAGGTGGAAGCAGGGCCGGTGCCAGGTTTTTTGCACACTAGGCGAGGCTACCTTCTGCCCCCCCCCCATGCGCCCACCAATTTTCAAACTTGGTTCGATACATCACGACTCGGATCACAACATAAGAAACACACATTTACTCAGTACTTTCACACTACAAAGACAAACGGCCAAGTGGCCAACTATATACATTTCCAAGGAAACACCCCTCGATTTGATTGGGGGGTTTGAATCTCCCGCCATGGTTTCTATTGGTTCCCCTAGTGGACCTTAGGAGCCTAGTCCCTATTGTTCTTTTGGGAATCAAGCTCTGCTCGCCTGGCTACTACCTGATGGCGGTTCCAGGACACAACACAAACATAAATGCATTTTAGGAAGAATGCAAAACACAAAGTTTGAAATTACTAATTTCTTTTTGTGAG